CAAAAACTATACGTCACTTTGGGATACATGCGCATAGCCAAAGTCAATTAAAAAAAAAAGAGCTCAAACTCTTTTCTTTTAGTTCCACTGAAACTTATTTGGTGTTAAATTCAAGAGTTGTTAAGCTAAATCTGAAATTACAAATCATAACATGCAAGCTTATTTATCTATTTAGATGATATTTATCTTTTAATGAAGCCCATATCTTATTAAATTTAGACAAATTTATTACCAGAAAATAAGTGTTTAACCAATATTTGTGAGCCAATTTGCTAATTGATTAATAGGTGGAAACTGGAAACTTATATACATATACTTTTCATAAGTTAATCACTTTAAAACACTTTTTTTAAAATATTGGCCAAACACAAACTACTAACAAAAGCACTTCTCCAACGAGTTAACCAAATACTAATTGCTACTCTCTTAAATCACTTTTTTTAAGAAAGCACTTCTGATAAGTACTTCTCCAAATAAGCTCATAGCTTGGCCGAACAGGCTCTAAGACACCATGGAGCAGGTAGTTCAGGCAAGTGCAGACTGAAATTGTGTGCCTCATTACCAAATAGGACCAGTTATTATGCTTAGTTTAAAACCATGCCCAGTTCTCCTCGCCTAAGAATATCAGAAAAAGGGGCACTAGTATCATAGTTAAATGATGAGGATCAACCTTCTGCTCCCATTACCAAACTGGCCGCACTTAAAATGTCACTAAAAGTCACCAAGATTCGGATTAGGTTAACACTATTTATATGGTCTCCCATGCCAAATCTCATGTCAAAGGGCACCAGCATCTTAAGTTACTAACGTTCAATATATCAAGACCAAGGAAGGAAATCAAAATAAGAAGTAATCAAAAGCAATTAATGATTCAATTACATAATCTATCAGAACTATGAGTATATCAAATGCTTTGTAAACTGTTCTGCCTGATGACAATTAAACTTTTATGACTGGCCAAAAATGAAATGATAAACCTTGGAAATCCTATCAGTGCAACACGTCCATGGCCAAATTTCGTAACTTCAAAACCTTCTCCAGCACCACTAGAACCCTGTTTCAGATACATAATCAGGAAGTTATTGCTTGGTCTATCAGAAAAAACAAGAACACGAGAAAAGGTGGTCACCAGTGGAAAAAATAATGAGTACAGCGCAACTATTTTTGTTGATATGATAATATAGGACACAATTATATCATGGGAACTCCATGAGACTAAGATAACAGGAAATTGACCCCTCCCAATTAACAGTTGAAATACCAAAAAGACATACTTTGGGGGGCTCTAACAATTGTGTCCTCAGCTTTGCTATCTTAGCCTTCAGCTGACCCAAATGATATTCTGCATGACAGTTGAAGTCAATTATTAAGCTTCTGAAGAAAATATTTGGGGAGAAGTTCAATAAACAAAGAGGAGTTCACAAAAGATCCTCAATCACAAAGGAATTAAGAGCATAAGAATGGATCTCCAAGGGACTCCAAGAAATGTAACAAATAATTTTCTTTTGAGTACAAGTTATATGCATTGTCGGTGTAAAAAAAATATTTGCACAATCATGTAACTTAGAAGGCAACGACAGGTGCTTCTTGATACAAATATCAATTTATAACCTTAAAGAAATAGAAAGCAACCTTCTATAATAGGTAAATATATACTTGTGACTCCCCTAACGGAAGCAAGTGATGAGGACAGGTCAAGCAGGATGGGCAGGCTTCTAGGTTGGCATGCTTCGGAAGATAAGGTGCACATTACACAGAGAGGAAAGTGAAGAGTTTTATAAAGCATAAATCAAGTTCACATGGTACACGCACTTTTGGGGCTTGATGTGGCGTAGCCCAAACAGACAAATTTGTGCCGCCCTAGGCCCATAACGGACAATAAGTGCCATTGAACCGGCTAGTGTAAGAAAATCTATACATTGTCCTAGCATACAGCTTAAGCTCTTGTCTTCTATATATTAGATGAAAAAGTAACAAATAGTTGAGTCACAAACAAATATAATCCTGTGCTAAATGGCAAAGGGTGATCTCTTTTGACAAGTTCCTGCTTTGAAATCTCGTTTCTGAATTTTGAATATCCAGTGGTGCCCCAATGAAAAAGATGGTGTCCTTTGTAGGACTAAAACCCTATAGTTCTAATCTACCAATGTTGAACAGACTCTTAGTAGACTTTCTGAGTGTCTATGTTGATTAATGTGCACTAAGACTGAGAGGCAATGAAGATTCATTGACGGTGATGCCTACTGGGGATTCAGTAACAGTAATACCAGTTCTTGTCTGAGTTATAGCTTAAACTCAAAGTGAAACAAACATTCTAAGTCAGTAGTATAAGACACAACCTATATGTAGGCATAAAGGCTTTAGTGATGTGACTATGGAAGTTACCAGTTGCTTTATTTTTCTGGGTACGAGCCATCTCGGCTTCAATTTCCTTGATCCTCTCTACAATCCCCATGGTTCTTTAGTTTATCTGCATAAAATATATAGAAGAGAAAAGATCAAGTTCAGTTCAACAAACAGTCCCATGACAAAGGTGATGCTCAAGAAAAGTACACGCAACCAAACATGAAACAACTAATCTTTGAAGAAAAGAAAGAGAGTTGCAGTAAAAAGACCGACAAGCAGAACAAGGAAGCCAGAGACACAGGGACCAAGTTAGATATCATATATTTTGACAATGACCCATAGGTCGTCCGTGTCACATGTATAATGTATTTAAAAAATGGAACTAATACAGAAGAAAATGCTATGAGAAATGGTTGTCTGTGCTATAATGAGCTATAATTATAAGCAGTAAAAGTTAAAAAAAAATCCAAGGACATGGGTTGGGAATTAAATGGGACTCGTTATGTTTTAACTTCCATTTCAAACCACCATATAGAAAATGTTCGAAAACGAGGAGTGAGCATAAATTGGATAAACATGCCACACAAATAGATAAAATAAATCAAACAATAGGCAATAGTATTGGAGTATCAAACTGTGAGGCCACTCTAGACTCCAGTAGATATAGATTGGAAAAATTGGGGGCAAGTAACAGCAGAAATTAACCAATACTTGAACAAAAATGAGGCGTGCAATTAATACTCTTCATACTCAAATGTTAACTAGCAAATAAACTAAACATACTAACATTAACCTACGGGCTCATTGAGATATACCGATTCGATTTGACCTCTTTTTTTTCAATAAATCCCACTTAGCTAGAGAAGCTCAATTCAGAATACGAGACGGTATGTTTAAGTAAATGCGTGATTCAGCAGAATATTTAACAAAGAGAAACAATAGGAATGGAATTGTGCATAAATTGAACAGTTTTATAAACTTAAACAGCTCTTACTTCTAACCACGCAGCTCAACTGAGATTCCGGCAGCCGGCCACTGGATTCTGCTTCTCCGCCGATAAAGTGAGTTGGAAGCAAAAGATAGCAGAAGAAGAGCAGCCGTTCGCCGACGAGGAAGAGGGTTCAGAATGAAGATTGCCTCAACTTGGAGCCCTCATTTTTAATTTTAACTTTATACACTTCTATTTCGTGACGGTAAGAAATACTCCATTTACATAATTATTTCATTTATTCAAAAAAAATAAAAAATACAGACAAATTAATTGATAATCTAGTAATGATAGTAATTGACGTTGTTGTGTATTATTAAAAAAAAAAAAACTTACATATTAGAGTGGTTTGATTCACGGATTAAATTATTTCAAAATTATAATCCTTAAACTAATTTTATCCCTAGGTCATTTAGAATTAAATTTGAAATAAAATTTATATATAAGTATTTGATAACGATGTATAAGTTTTACCCCATTTTTAATTTTGAGATATTCCATGTTATCTCGTGTAACAAGCAAATACAACATGTAAATTGTATATCCCAAAAATATACCATGCATATACATACTGGTATTTTATAAATATTTTTTTCTAAATATGTATGAAATACTATTATTTATTTATATATATATATATATATATATATATATATATATATATATAGATAGATAGATAAGTGGTAAAATTGTATATCCCAAACAATAATTTATAACTTCACATCACCTTACGATTTCTAGTTTGTTATATACTCCCTTTGCAAAACTTAAGTGCATATATCTAATAAACGTATGATGAAATCTGTTAGCTCTTTACAATTTGTTCTTCTCCTATTCATGCACATTTGAGTTTTGAAAGATATACCAATGATCCATCTTATAAAAGAGCAGCGATGAATTTATTATATTGTGTAAGATCTGAGCACACACTGGATATATTGTTGTAGTGACTTGGGGATGAGACTTCATCATTGAGAGTCTGGACATCCATTATAACTGATTTTAAAAACTAGGTTGCTATACTAAGATAAAGTTGTTATCATTATCATTTTCCTATATCAGTGTTGCTGGAATATCCCATTTTAACACACAAACACCAATCTTCTTTCTCAAGTTCCCTGTACACAAATCCACCATACTTTTATTTGCAGATCTGATTGTCAATACTCATCTTTCCTTTGCTATCCAAGAAGATTTGCAGGTAGCTAGCCGCTTGCTCTGTTGGAATAAACCTTAGGATGTACAACAACTCTGTTATTTCTCCCTTTCAAGTATGGGTTCAATGGAGCTTTATTTAAAGAACAGTAACCACCACTTTGACTGATGCAGACGCGGCAGTGCAATAGTTGATGGAGATGTACCCAGTATCTTGTTACATATGTCAAACGAATTGGAAAGCAAATCTTTTGGCATGGTAGATCAAATCAAACTCTGCCTTGGTCGGCTGTATAAATCTTTACTGCTTTATTCAAGGTCAACCCATGTCACATGGTAGACCAAATCGCTGCTTTAAAAAGTTGGGGGCTGTACCACCAAGAATTCACGGGCATTGGATACCGGGCGGGAAATGTGAGCTGGGATATCAAATTAAAAATATGCTGGCTGGGATATGACCAACTAGAACAATCTAAGCAGGAATAGCAGTCTTACTAGCTGTCTTCTGATGTGGGAAGGAAAACAAAATTGCTCTCAACTTCGCGACCTTGAATTAAAAGCTACCAAGGTGTGTACAAAAGGTTGAATCACACAAAAAGTAGCATTAGCACATGAAATATAATGGTTAGTGAACTGTCTGCCAATCACCATCGGGCTTATTCCAAAAAAAACAAACCTTTTTATGATGTTGAAATTACAGGAATCCAGACCTAGCTTCATTTACACTTCTATCACTACTACTATGTCCACTTGACTTGCATGCACTGAGAACTGGTGGGATCTGACCTTGCATATCAGCAAGCTCTCTCACACGCGAGAGAATTGCAGCAGGGATCGGAACTGAAGCTTGTTTCCGGGAATTCAGAATCTGCACCATCACAAATATTAAGTTAAAGAAGGATACTACGATCAGTCCCATAGTTTCCACAAAAAAAAGGAGGTGGGGGGGGGGGGGGGGTGATGCTCAGCTAAGTTGCTCAAACTCAGGTTTAGGTGTCCGATACAGGTGTGGATCTAGAGGTCGGATCCTCTATGATCTAAATTTTATGATTCGGGGATACGGATTCATGTTGGATACGGGTGCGGGGATTTAGCTTAAAATAATTCAAATATCTAAAAACAGAGTTATTAAACCTAAATTATGAGGAAAACTTGAGGAGAATATTGATGCAAAGGAGAATCTAGAAGGAGTAGAAAGGAAAGGGAGTGACAATAGAAATTGATAAGGTTATTCCATTTTCTTCAATTTCACCTTAGTTTTTGTTTTGATTACAGAAATCATTGAAGCTTTCCAGAATTTCTCCCTATAATTTGGTCAAAGTAGCCAAAACTGGCCGACCAGATCGGGTACGGATCCCACACCCACGTCGTCTCGACATTGTGCGGCACCAAAAGTGAAGAGTCCGAGCAACTTAGATGTTCAGACTGTTGACAAATACAGAAACAATGCCTACCACACCCCCCCCCCCCCCCCCCCCTTTCTGTGCCTGTACAAAATTAGTGAAAAGAACTTTCTAGTACGAGACAAAAACATGTTTATAATATCACACAGTAAATCACCACTTTCTACTGAAACAGAGTGAATGTATGAAGCCGTCTTATAGTTGAAAGAAGTCCTTGATAAAATCATCAACAACAATGAAACAACATGCATAATAATAATTCAAATAATGCTAACCCCTTTTTCTGCAGGCAACTGCACAAAACTAGCTTTCAGCAGATTTCTCCACTTGTCCTGCAAATACATAGATAATTTGCAGCATTACATCACATGTACAAAAAACAGTCCCAAACTAATTTATTCCCAATGAATTCCAATTACTAGATTCTATTAAATCGACAAGCCAATACCAACCTTCAGGTCCACCGAAGTTCGATAAGGGCAAGATGAAAAAGCAAGCCGTTTTATCTCAGACCATCTACCAGCACCATACCTGGCTACACCTTCCACTAGCTTAACAACCTCATTGATAGTCCAAGGTCGATGATGTTTTCTCCTCATTCCTCCTTTTTGGGTGGGTACAGTCACCACATTATCATCTGAATTGTCCTCAGAGCAGTCATTCACCTCTATGTCATTCTCTAGCTCAACAATTTTCATCCCACTGTAATGTTCATCCTTTTCACAAGCAGCAATAAGCTAGAAAACAAAAGGAGTTCCACAAAATATCATCATCAATTTGAGAGGGAGAAAAGGAAAATAGAGAGTGACCAACAAAAAAAAAGGAGGATGATTCATTTGGGTTAAAGGGAGCAATATTTGACTCAAGAAATATTGTAGTGATTTGAAAAAATCAAGCGCACACAGAATTCAAAGGCAAATAGTAGAAAAGGGAAGTTCTATTTACAGGCTGTTGAGTCCATCCAGGAGATGAGCTGGTCTTGATCAGGTCATTATTTCTCTTATCATCTTCTTGTGGCCCAGATATGTCAAAAGCACTCCTTACTTGTCTGGTCGCCGTGTCCATTCCACTGGGCTGAAGTTTCTGCAATATTCAACTTGAAGTGCATCAATAACCCAGAGGAACAAAAATAATGTTTCCATCAGCCATAGTAGTACATGACATTAAAGCTGAAATTCAAAGTCTAAAAACCACGTAATTTAATTCAAAAGATCAATGATTCAACTTGATATAGATAGGCATAATGAATTCATTGAGAAACACACACACTCTGACATGTACATAGTACGTTGGAAATACAAACAGAGAATCATCTGACAAATGCAGTTCAAACTGAAATTAAATAATCTATGCAAGGAAGAAGAGTATAGCAAAATTGCAAGTGATACAAGAAGCCCAAAAGTTTCATTCACATTGATAAGGAGTGCAAGTCATGTCTATATACGGGGTTTTATACTCAGAAACAATTATAAATTATAAGTCCCAATATACAAATACATGCTAGGAATGAGCCATGTAAGCATTTATAAGTCTATATTTAAGATATTTAAATTACCAAAAGAGGCATGAAGTTCTCACGCGGACGGCTCCTTCGAATCCGAGAAACAAATGGAATTTGAACCCCAGAACCTCCCAGAGAATCTTGCCTGGTGACCAGAGGTCTCGCATTTGACCTCACATTTTTGGTGGGCCTTAAATGAGTTTCTGGACATGCAAATTGGTATCTGGAGATTTTATCTGGCGATGCTAACTTTTCACTGGTTTCCCTAGATTCTATTTCTGAAAGCTCTTCAATATATCTTTTTGTTGGTTTGCGAGCTCTTTTGGCTGTTATCTGCTCTGTGTTCAAATCTTTAGTAACATTACAACTTTCAAAGGCTGAACTGGAAACATCTGCCCCAGAAAGATCAGAATCGTCATTTATTCTGTTATCATGATCACTTAATGACCCTCTAGAGTTTGAATTTGCCACTCCATCTTCAGAATCTGCAGAAATTCTGCTCTTTACACGATGACATATTTGTTCTTCACCTTTTTTCACCACTACATTATCTCTTATTATGAAAGTAGTGCATGAAAAATCACATGAATTGGTCAGACCCATGGTAATCCTCCTCTTAAGCCACTGTTTATCCTTGACGGAAGTTTCCCTTCCAAAAGTTGCTTTAAAAGTTTCCTGAAGTTCTTTAACTGGTAGATCATCTAAACATATCTTTCCCTCCAACTTTGAAAAGTCTGGCTTCCAACTAGAACCAGCAGCAGAAGTTGATGGTGTATCCTCATTTGGTGCATCCTGGGAATAGGAGCATACATCAGTCCTCACAGATTGGTCAACATTGCTGAGTTCTGAGAGAGGAGCCAATCCCATGAACAGCCACCTGGAAGTTTATTCCAGTTTAAATCAGTCAAAGACGACTAATAAGTCGCAATACAGTCACTACTAACATTAGTAGAAGCAAAACGAAGTATACAAAAACCATAATATACTTCTTTTGATTCTCTAATGTCGCACAAAAGAGAAACACTAAACAAGATACAACAACTAACTCTAATAGGTGAATGATTCAAAATCAAACAATTACAGTTGACCACAAAGAAAAAATTTGTTAGACACAGTAACATGACAAATAAGTTGAGCCAAACTAGTTTATTCCAACGATATGAATCCTCTGAATCAATTCCACTCAATTCAGGCTCATGTCAGTCAATGTAAAGCACTCCTAGGTGAGTAGCAACATATTGTTCCTTCACAGCAACCCTCCTCCTATTTTTTAAACTGCTGTAACTATCTTTAATATGATAGTCAGCATACTGAAACTCCCTCCTCTATCTAACACAACATCTCATACTAAAAAATCACTCTCTACATCTTTTTGTTCTATTTTATATGGTACTCTATCCATTTCAATTTATTCCGAACGTCAGATTCTAAACTTGGAAACAGTTTAACATTTAACTTATCATTTTACCTTTAATGGCATACTTTTATAACCACATAAATGTTATAGCATGTTTAAGACTAAAAGATCAAAATATCGTCCTCCTTTTCTAACTCCATGCCCAGTCAAATACCACCACACAAAAAATGAGAGAAAGGAAGTAAGAAAAAGGCCCTAGATCAAGGAGATGTAGAAAGCAAAGCTGAAGAGTGCAACTTACATACCTTTTCAGGAGCATCTATTTTTCCCAAGTCGGGCACTGGGTCAACTAACACATTTGACTTTTCTGCACCAACAACAGGATATTCAGACTCTAATTTATCAGAAAATAATTCTCATTGAGGAAAGGCCAAAAAGAACCACCCTTTAAATAGTCACAAATTAATTTGAAGACAAGTGAATTATTTAAAATCAAGTTCTAAACCTTCTGTAACTTGAAATGAATTTCTCTCAAGAAGGTATCCTTCAGTTATGCAGGATTTTGAAATCTGTCTGGTATCTGGAACAAGCTTGGATTCACACTTATCATCTTCAAGCAAGTCCTCAACCACCATAATTTCATCCTGAGTTGCCGGGACTAATCTCCCATCGCCATCAACCTACACAATTGTAATGACCATCAATTACTCTCTAAAACTACACCAAACTTGGTTCTCCGGCTACAAGTTGAATGTGTGATTTACCTTTACAACTTGGGAAAAAAGTTCTAGAAGGAAATTTGGAGGAAAAATATAATCCTCCTAATAGAATTCTAACAAATATTGACCCAAGTATGGTATTACACTTAAAAGCCACTGCGAGTTGTAAAATAGGACCAATTGAAAAAAAAACATTTATGAGGAGAAGAAATGTCAACCACAAAAAAAAAGGTAACATAGAAGGCAGTGTAGAAAGAAAACACCTTTCTAGAACTACCTTTCTGAAAAATCCAAAACTTGTATTTATTTCCGACAAGATTGAGGATGACCCCAGACCCTTACAAAAAGAAAATATTTTTTTGTTGCCACAAAATAGGGGGAGATAATCAAAAGGGCGATGGTGATGCTAATTAATTCCTCCATCCCAATTTAAGTGTCTACCTTTCCTTTTTGGTATGTCCCAAAAGTGTGCCTGTTTCTATAATCATTTCTATATTTAGTAAGTTTCCAGTTCCAACATGGCAAGTTTAAGACCACAAGATTTACAGGACTACACACATCTTTTAATTTAAGACCACAAGATTCAAAAGTCTCCCCCTTTATTTCTTAAAACTTTGTGCCTAGTTAAACTGAGACACTCAAATTGGGATGGAGGGAGTACTACATAGAGTGAGCTCAAGGGATACTTCTTTCTAATTAGTCTTAACCTAGAGCTATTCGCTGAACTTATGATCTAAGAACAAGGGAGCTAACATCAACGCTCTAGGTAATCACCTAAAATTTTCTCAAGTAACTATCTCAACCATCACCACCCCCTTCCCATTTGAGAAGTACAATAAAATTGTCTTTCAACTCTCTTTGCCTACGGATTTAGCCTTTAGCTGCTTTTCTATCCTTCTTTCATTTTTTTTGAGAATTAGTACTTACCTTCTTTCATTTTTTTATCAATATAGAAGCAAATGATTCATATCAATATTTTAAAAAAATAACTTTCTTCCATTATTTGGCCGAATGGAGAATAAAGATGGAAGATAGAAAAATGATCAGGTTATTAACAAAGAAGCTCCCTCAAAACTGTAAGTAAAACATTTGTTCCATGTTGAGGAAGCAAATTATTCTCCTACCATTCGCTGATCACTAGCAACTCGGATCTTTCCATAAAGTACAGAAAATTAACACAAGCATATACCCTAGTATTATGTTTACAAACTATAAATAAAACATAAGCCCTTATGGTGCTAGACCGATAAAATGACAAATTTCAATTACTGTATTCACAAGTCATACCCGGACAAGCTGGTAAACAATAGGATGAGCAATCTCCTTCTCCAAAGCCCTGATTGTGCTTGTTACCGGAACAGCACAATCCTCAATTTTGGGTTCACTTGCCTCCATTGCAAATGCATAATATGTAACTGGAATTTCTGAAACACACACATTTGACAATTTACAACAACAACATACCCAATTAAATACCACAAGTGTGATCTGGCGAGGTTAAAGTGTGTGCAAACCTTAGCTTTACCTGGTGGAATTAAAGAGGCTGTGTTTCAGAAGGAGCTTACACAAATTTGACTATTTGAGAGAGAGAATTCAATAACTATGCGTCTAAAAATCAAAACCTAGGGTGCATGCAGAACAAAAATCCACCCAATTACAGCAATATCGGAAGAATAATTAATAAACGTCTATAAAACTCAATCAAAACTTTTAACTAAATCTAATCAGAATCAACAAATACTGGAATTGAATTTGAACTCACCATAAGGGAATTCCACAAGAACAGTCACATCATTCTTCCCAGCTGAAATTCAAAATTTTGATAACAGTGCCAATTGGAAAGAAAAAAAAATGAGGGAGAGATGCGTGAATCGAAGAGCCAAAAATGATTGTATAAAAATCGAATCAAGAAATATATATAGATAGATATATATATATATTTAGTGATTCGGGAGAGAGAAATGGTTATTGGAATCAAGAAATAAACTGAAGTATTTTTCTTGCTTTGGGAAATTGCTTTTCCAGTACGCTCAAAAAGTTGCGGAACCGAAATTTTTTTGTGAGGAAAGAAAGTGTGACGCCTAAGAGCGCGTGAAGTCCGACTTTATGAAATGGCACTCCGCTAACTCCTGAGGCAATTGGGCTTTATAATTATTGTTGGGCTTAAAGACATGCACCTACCTAGTGAGCAGTGACGTTTAAACTTGGATGTGTCAGCAAAAATTAAAGACCACTCATAATATGTTTGGTTAGATGGGCAATTTTAATCGAAATCATATATTTATATAAAGGAAAATTCTAGGTCCACCTACGTGATATCATCACAAGCAAGAATTTCCTTCGAAATTTATTTATTTTCAAAATACCCTTTTCCTTTCATTAAAGATGTAATTTTTATGAAAAGTTTTGACTTTTATGAAGAGTTGCGACTTTTATGAAAGATTGTAACCTTTCTGAAGTGTTGTGACATTTTCGATAAGGCACAATAAACATTTGTTCACACTACCTTTTTTGTCTATAAATAAAGAAAATTCCTCTCATTTTAAAACAACGAAAATTCTTAACTTCTTCTACTTCTTTTACACAATTAAATATTCGTGTACTTTGTTCATGTTGAGTGGCTCATTGACACCATTAGTTTTGTATCAATACACTTGTAAATAGAATCATTTCATCTTGAAAGGATCTATTTCTTTAAACCTCGAATATTAGAGGAGGATAATTTTCTTAAGGGAACATTGTTTTAGTGGCAACATTAGTCGCTACTAATACATAAAATAATTGCCACTAAAAGACTGTTTTAGTGGCAACATTAGTCGTTGCTAATAACTATAATAGTCGCCACTAAAAGACTGTTTTAGTGGCAACATTAGTCGCTACTAATGCCTATAATTGTCGCCACTAAAAGTGTGTTTTAGTGGCAACATTAGTCGCTGATAATACCTAGAATAGTTGCCACTAAAAGACTGTTTTAGTGGCAACATTAGTCGCTACTAATGCCTATAATTGTTGCCACTAAAAGTGTCTTTTAGTGGCAACATTAGTCGCTGATAATACCTAGAATAGTTGCCACTAAAAGACTATTTTAGTGGCAACATGAGTCGCTGCTAATAACCTAATAGTCGCCACTAAAAGACTATTTATGTCAACATTAGTTGCTGCTAATACCTATAATAGTGGCCACTAAAAGAATATTTTAGTGGCAATTTTAGTCGCTGCTAACACCTATAATTGTAGCCACTAAAAGTGTGTTTTAGTGGCAACATTAGTCGCTGCTAATGCTTATAATAATCGCCACTAAAAGTATGTGTTAGTGGCAACTTTAGTTGCTGCTAAAACATAAATTAGTCGCCACTAAAAGACCTGTTTAGTGGCAACATTAATTGCGGCTAATGCATTTAGGAGGGGAAATAGTCCATGTATTAGGTATAATATTATTTAGTACTATGTTTGGTAGGAATTTTGGGCCTATGTATAACTAATCCATGGATTAGTTATACACCCTAGTTGGTATTATAGGATGCATAACTAATACCTTCCATTTGATGGTATTAGTAATGCATAGGATTTAATACCATGGGATTAGTCTATATAAAGACAAAAATATCCCTCAAATCCTTTTCATCATTTTAATTATTTTTTTTATTTTATATTTTATATTTGTACTAGTAAATTTATTTAAATAAATTAGCTTACAAATTTTATTATTTAGAGAGAGTTGTTTGTTGCTAAATAAATCTAATACAAATAAAAAAAAAAATCCAATACAAGTCCATACAATATTTGAAATACGAATTGTTTAATATTTACTAATTGAAATATAAATATATCACCGTATGATATTTGTATTAACTCACTTAAAAGACTGTAAATGTATGCATCGACCATTTCTACATTTTCTTTCATAATCTACTAGATATATAGAAGCTATATTTGAGACCTACCATAGCAACGTATGAATAGATAAGAGTGTGTATATGTTTATACGATGGCAGAACAACATATATTCTTTAGCATATGTTGTTATTATATATATATACTAGATATAGGATCCCGTGCCAGCACGGGACCCAATATATATAATTTTTTTATTTTAATTTATGTCATATTATGGAATTTGAGAAGTTATTGAAATTTTTATATGATTTTAAAAATATTTTAAATTTTTAGCTATTGTGATTTGTAGTATTTTTTTTTAACATAATTTTGAAAATAATATTTATTACTCTGTTTGTTCTAATTTATATGGCACACGCAAAATTTCAAATATTAACCCTTTTTTATATGTCTCTTTAATATATTAAGTTGTTAATTATTGTATTTTATAGTACATTTTGAACCTAATTTTTTAATAATATATGTTATTTGCCATGTCCTAATTTATGTGGCATTAATTGATAGATTTGTTGGAGTCGAGAGATTTATTATGTTAATTATTGTAATTTATAGTTTCTTTTTCGTCAATTTCAAACAATATATGTTGTTAATTGATAGAATACTTTTAACGTAATTTAAAAAAAAAAATATGTGTGACTGTCTATGTCCCAATTTATGTGACACATGTAAAGTTTTAACAATTAACCAAAATTTTAATACATTTTTAAAAAAAATTTAAGTCGTTAAATTTTAAGTAATTTAAATTGTTGTATTATTTATTACAATTTATAATGCTTTTAAAGTAGTTTAAATATTGTACTTTTATTATGATTTATAACACTTTTTTTTTAATTTATGTCATATTATGGAATTTGAGAAGTTATTGAATTTTTTATATGATTTTAAAAATATTTTAAATTGTTAGCTATAGTGATTTGTTGTACTTTTTTTTAACATAATTTTGAAAATAATATTTATTACTCTATTTGTTCTAATTTATGTGACAAATACAGAATTTCAAATATTAACCCTTTTTTATATGTCTCTTTAATATATTAAGTTGTTAATTATTGTATTTTTTAGTACATTTTGAACCTAATTTTTTAATAATATATGTTATTTGCCATGTCCCAATTTATGTGGCATTAATTGATAGATTTGTTGGAGTCGAGAGATTTATTTTGTTAATTATTGTAATTTATAGTTTCTTTTTCGTCAATTTCAAACAATATATGTTGTTAATTGATAGAATTTTTGGAGTGGACTATTTTTTTATTAATTATTGTGATTTATTGTTTCTTTTTCGTCAATTTCAAACAATATATGTTTATTATATAATCCATTTTATGTGGTACCAATAGAATCTAGAGAGTCAATTAAAATTTTTATATAAGTTTTAAATAATTAAGTTGTTAATTATTGTAATGTATAGTATCACTTATATTATTTTTAAATATATTTAAATATTATATCTTAGGTTTTTTATCCTAATTTATATGGCATTGATAGAATTTAAAGTGTGAAATAATTGTTAATTATTGTAATAGATAATATGGAGTATTTAAGTCATTTATAGTATAGTAATTAATATATAATATGTAGTATTTAAGTGGAAGGTGGTGGGCCCCACTTAAATAGTTTGATAAATATATTGGATATTAGTAGTGATTTATAGTATAGTACTCCCTCCGTCCCTTTTTAGTTGTCCACTTTAGAAATGACACACAGATTAAGGCAACAATGATTAGCACAGTGAAGTTACAATTTTACCCTTATGACAACTTTTCACTTCAAAATTACAACCACTTATTTGAATTCAAGTGAAATAAATTGGAGGGAAACAACACACTTTTACAATTTTCAAGAAGTGTAAATAAGGGTATAATAGGAAAAAAATTGTTGTCCTTACTTGATTTGTCAAAATGGACAACTAAATAGGGACAACTAAAAAAGGAAATATGGACAAGTAAATAGGGACGGAGGAGTAATTAATAATATATAATATGTAGTATTTAAGTGGAAGGTGGTGGAGCCCACTTATATATTTTATATAGTAAATATTGGACATTTGTAATGATTTTATTGGAACAATTGTAGTAAATCCTAGACTCTTCTAATATATAGTAATATGTGTGTGTGTCAAAGAATATTAAAGGTATAAAGATACAACTATTCTATTTTTTTTTATTGAAATTGACTTTGTATTTTAAATAATTTATAAAACTTTATACATATTAAAAATATAATTTGTAATTTTATTTTGTAAATGTAGACGGTTTATTCGGTTTTACAATTATTTATTTTTAAAAAAATTGGAAATTGATGTTTTGTGAGATAAATTTATTAAGATGATAATTATTTATCTTCAAATAATTCAAGTGAGAAAATAGAAAACATGGAGACAAAATTGTGCTTATCCTAGGTAGTTCGAAGGCCACAAAAAAATAATATTGGTCGGTAGTTATGTACCTTGACCAATTACATGAAATATAAAATCTCATAATAATTCAAGGATATAATTGGAAAAAAGCTTTTTGTAGAGTTTTAAAACAAACACTAGATTAGATAGGAAGCAATGAACCAAACACGGGATAAAAATTAATCCCTGCATTACTAATCTCTGCGCTATTAATTTTTGTACCAAACGACCCCTTAATAGTCGCCAGTAAAGTCTGTTTTAGTGGCAACATTAGTCGCTGCTAATGTCTATAACAGACGCCACTAAAAGACTATTTTAGTAGCAACATTAGTCGCTGCTAATACTTCTAATTGTCGCCTCTTTAGTGGCAACTTTAGTCGCTGCTAATGCCTAAATTAGTCGCCAATAAAAGCCTGTTGTAGTGGCAACATTAATTGCTGCTAATGCATTTAATAGTCGCCACTAAAAGCGTGTTTTAGTGGCAAAATTAGTCACTGCTAATACTTATAATAGTCGTCACTAGAGGTGTTCACGGGTCGATTTGGATCGGTTATTGGTCAAAATCAAAATCAAACCAACTTAATCGATTTTAAAATTATCAAAACCAAACTAAACCAAATATAGTATATATTTAT